TACAACAAAACTTTTTTGTTCGTTTGTTCAATTTTTATGAAAAATGGCTTTTTTACCAGTTTATTTTTTAAACTATTTTATCTAGTATTTATTAAAAGCATTCTTTTCGCTGTTTTTATTTTATCCTTTGAGTGAGCGCGTTTATGTAAAAATTATTGCAAAATTTTTGTTTTTTTAATGAAATGTTTGTACACTTTCATTTTAAAAAATAATCAGTATCTATTCCTAGAACAATGTTTATAAGTTGCATAGTTACGCATTATTTGCTTTTGTAACACAACATTTCCTCTACACTGAGTCATGTGAATGGATGTGCTGGGAATAAAGTTTATGATGTACTTCCGCTGGTGTAATTTTATTTATATTTACCAATTTTTTTATGTATATTTTCATATTGTGAATCAAAAACTACTTTTTATAAAAACCTACTTGTGTAGTTTTTTATAGCCTTATATACACAGAATACACAGAAAGTTATTATTGAAAAACATAGCTGGAATAAATTCATAGATTTTATATTCATTTGCTAACCAATCAGATGAAAAATACACAGAAAGTTATTATTGAAAAATTTGGCATTTTCCCATATAAAAGAGCATCTGACATTTCGAGCAAGCCATCAGATGTGCAGGAATTTTTGAAAATAATTTATGGAGTGTCTACAGAGGGAGTTTGAGAAGTACAACAGCCTCCAAAACGCAGAACATGTCATTTGTGTGCACGAAACAGAAAAAAGACCTCAGCATCAATGAAATGCCATAATTGTCAGACATTTACATGTAAGCGTCACTCCCAAAAGAAAATTTTATGTGCTGATTGTGCGAATATAAATAGTGATTTCACTTCTAAAAAAAACAATGTTTTTTCTTTTGTTTTCTTTTTATTAATAGTTTTTTTTATTTATAGTTTTGCAAATGAAATACTTATAATATATATATTATAAGTAATTTATTTGCAAAATAAAATACTTATAATATATATATATATATATATATATATATATATATATATATATATATATATATATATATATATATATATATATATATATATATATATATATATATATATATATATATATATATATATATATATATATATATATATATATATTCATATATATATATATGAAATCAGCAATTGTTTTTTCATTCTAATGATTAAAGCTATGAAGTATTTTTCCTCTTAAACTCCATAAGCAACGTTATTTCATATTTTTATCCATGTTTGTATTTCTAAGTATATCCAATTATTCAGTAAATCATGTAATACCAAAATTTATATCTGGTCAAAGACTGAAAAACTGAAGAGCAATTTGCTCGTTATACATTTAAAAACTTAGTTTTCAATAAGGTGACAGTCTGGTGCAACAAAATAATGTAGGATATATACAGTACGTGGCCACAATATTATGATCACCTACAGTTTTTGTGTATTTTTAACTTCAAGGGTTTGTAAAAAGTATGAAAAAAGTACAATTGCAATATTAGTTATATTTTATTGATAAAACATGTTTCCTTAATAACAAAGTATTTCAATATTAATATACAAACATTTTAACAATCAATTATTCTTTTTGATTGCAAGTCATAAAAAAATATTAATATTTTGTCATTCCTCCTTTCAACGAAATGACTTTAGCTATTCGGTCTGGCATACTTTTAATGCTGTCTTAATTTTTTCATTGTGGTGCCAATGATAGAGTAATTTTTCAATCAAATCCTTTTTGTTTGTTGAAACCTCAGAAGAGATTTCCTTTTTGAGAATGTTCCACAAATTCTCAATCGGATTCAGGTCAGAAAAGTTCCCTGGCCAATCTAAAGCGGGGATATTTTTTGTTTTAAGAAAGTTTGTGGTCTTTTTAGCTTTATGGCATGGAGCACTATCATGCATAAAAATAAATGTATTGTTATTTGGAAACCATTCTTGTATTTAAGGGATAAGTTGACTCTTCATAACCTCTTGATACTGTATTTGGTTCATCATCCCATTGACAATATATAGTCTTCCTGTGCCTTTACCACTGATAACTGACCACACCATAACTTTAGTTGGATGTTTAATAGTTTGTACAATGCAATCTGGATGATATTTTTCGTTTGGTCTTCTTGGGACGAAGGAAGGTGGTTTTGTCCAACAAGATCTCAAAAATTGATTCGTCTGAAAAACACACCTGAAAAAATCATCATAGTGAGGTTGTAAATAAGTTTATGTCAACATTTAAACACTTTTTTAACAATATTTCATTCAAAATTGATAAACTTACATGTTCCCAATCTCCAATAGTTATATACTTATGATTTTTTGCCCATTGCAATCTCTTTTTTATCATTGCTGGAGTTAGCCTTGGTTTTTTAACCGGTTTGTGTGATTTTAAACCAACTTCAGCCAGACGTCTCCAAAATTTGTATTCCATACTCCAGAACAAGTTTTGACAGCAAGAGAGATGATTTTTTTTCTATTTTCCAGACATATATCTCTTATAATTCTGTCTGTCCTGGAAGTGGTTTTACGTTTTGACCCACTCCGTCCTTTCCTTTTTGGAGAAAGAGTGATGTTGTTTTCCATTTTGTGTTTGATTTTATTGACAAAAGGTTGCGAAACTTCACACATTTTTGCAATTTCCCGTTGTGAATGCTCTAAATGTTGTAAAAGTGCTTTTACTTCTGAAATTTTGCTTGGACTTATATCCTTACCTATCCCATGTTTATTTTTTATTGAAATTTTAAATTACAACCTGTTACACTAAAAATATTAATAAAATGGTACTATATATTAATTCTTGCTATTTATAGTAACTTTATAAAATGTATTAAAAATGATAAAACACTTTTCACTCAAAAAAAACTGTTAAAATGTAAAAAAAAATGTATGTGACAGATCAACCACATTTTTTTTTAAATTAACAAAAATTTACATTGCTGACTCAAAACACACCTTACTTCACATTGGTCATGATTATAAATAAATTTATCTTTTCTATTTTATTCGATAGATGTCGGTATTGTATAATAAGTTAGTAATAATAATATACTCACCTTAAAATTACTTTAAAATAACTTTGAAAACAAAATAAGTGGAAAAACTGAAGTGATCATAATATTGTGGCCAGGTACTGTAGCTGCATAGTTAGTAAACATAATTATTAAAAAAAAAAATCATGTCTATATATGTTATGAAATGAAACATTTTTATTTCAAATTTTCCATTTGTGTTTACAAATATGTCCTTTGGTATTTTCAAATTTGCGTACTTAAACTTTAATTTATTTTGTGCAACATCCTTTAAGTTAACTTAAGAACTTTTATTATATACTTGTTTGTTTTGT